AGGTGGTGGGACCAAAGAGGGGACAGCTGAAAGGTGAGCATGGAGCGGTAGATCGAAGTGGATCTGTCTGCTCAAAGGAAAAAAAAAAAAAAGGCAAAGAAAAACGTGAACATAAACAAAGCTTTTTTCTGACACTCAGCCACCCTGCCCAACCGTCCCTCACACAGACCTCTGCAAAGAGCCTGGACTGCCGTGTGTTCCTTCAGCTCTTTCCCTTGCCACACCCCATTCCTCCTGCTTCCCTTGCAGGCCTCTCTCCTGTCTCCCTTTCTCCCGTCTCTCTCCCCTCACCCACCTATGCTGGTAGCAAAACTGATGACTTTCTCCCGGTTGCCAGGGACCATGCTCCTGGGCTGCAGTCTCCGGAGGGCTCTGGTCAGTGCTGCCTGGGGCAGAGGGCGAGTTATTCTGGGACGGCTGGTTAGGTGCAGCCCCTCCAGGATTTGCTGCTTAGCTAGTTCTAGGATAAGAGCGCGTTCTCCTTGGGGTGCCAGTGTTGGGCCTCCACAGGACGGGCACGCAGATCTTGTACTCTGCATCCACGCCAATGCCCACAGCAGCATTGGCCAGAGCTGGACCTTTGAAAGCCCCATGCTCCAGGTAGATGGCTCTGAGTTGAGAACCTCGGATGGATGGCAGTTTTAATGAGTCTGATTTCCCAAAGAGGATGCAGTAGCAGCAGCAGCAGCAGCAGCAGCAAGTGGGCAGACCAAGCCACTTGTCCTTGCTAGCCTGGGACTCAGGAAGACTGAGAGTAGATCGCCTGGTGGGTAGCTATGTTTGACCCTCACAGTTCATGACTGGCTACTGAGCAGAGCCTCTTTAGAGCCAACTACTTGGGCTCCCTCACCTATCGGGTCAGCCAGCAGACCTACCCTCTGAACCTTAGGATTGGCCAGCTGTGCTGCCCATCAGGCCCCTGCAGGGGGGTGGAGGGCTCCCCTGGGGCTCGAGTTTCACCATCTGACTGTGATGGCTTTAGGTAAGGGTATAGGGGGGTGCAACGTGGCCATGCATGATGCAAGAAAGAGGAATATTTCACACCATCAGTTCCCAAGGTCTGGGACTCAGACGAGGAAGTCCATAGGAGCCAGGTGGGGATGGGCAGCTCCTCACTCTGCCCTAACTTCCTAACTTGAAAACGGAAACAGTTTAATGAGGCTGTTCCAGTGGTTAGTTCTTGGGTTCTCCGTGTCAGAAGAAGAATTCTGGTCTCCGTTTCTTGCGTTCAAGCTGGGATAGGTTTTGGAAAAGGTGGTTTAAAAAAAAAAATGGAGTCCTCTGGCTCAGGCCAAGGTGGCAGTGCCACGAGACACAGAAGTTACCTTTTGACCCTGCCTGTGCTGGCTGCCCAGAGTCCACCTGGGGGAGGGCCAGAGCAAGGGGTGAGGACATGCTTCTGTGATGTGTGGGAAAACCCGCCGAGGTGGGGTGGTGGTGATGCAATCTTACAGCAGGGCAGAGTCCGTCAAGGCTGTCAGAAGGGCATACGCCTTTGAAACACCTGTGCCCGTTAACCTCTTGTCTTTAGGGTACTGAGGAGTTGGCCAAATCTGAGGCATCCCAGGGGTGGTGCCAGGATTCTGATAACATAGAAAATGGAAGTTTAAGGGATCCAGAGAACAAAGCAGGAAAAGCACAGACACCTGCCTCAGCTCCTGGTCATCCAGGGCTCTGGCCACGGTCTCCATGGACTTTGTTTTATTTTTGCTTATTTGTTTTGTTTTTGTTTTGTTTTGTTTGTTTGTTTTTTTGAGACAGGGTTTCTCTGTATAGCCCTGGCTGTCCTGGAACTGACTCTGTAGACCAGGCTGGCCTGGAACTCAGAAATCCGCCTGCCTCTGCCTCCCAAGTGCTGGGATGAAAGGCATGCACCACCACTGCCCAGATTTTTTTCTTTTAAGATGTATTATTTACTTCATATGTATGGGTGTTTTGCCTGCAAATATGCAAGTAAACTTCATCTGTGGAGTGCCCCTCAGAGCCTGGAAGAGAGTGATGACTGTCCTGGAACTGAAATGACTGTGTGGTTGCTGGGAATTGAACTCAAGTCCTCTATAAGAGCAGCCAGTGCTCTTAGCCACTGAGCCATCTCCCCACAACACTGACTTTGGTTGTTTTTTTTTTTTAACTTTTATTTATTTTTATTTATTTTATTTATATGAATACACTGTAGCTGTCTTCAGATACACCAGAAGGGGGCATCGGATCCCATTACAGGTGGTTGTGAGCCACCATGTAGCTGCTGGGAATTGAACTCAGGACCTCTGGAAGAGCAGTCAATGTTCTCAGCCACTGAGCCACGTCTCTAGCTGCCCCCCACCCTGATTTTTGTTTTTTAGTGTGTGTGTGTGTGTGTGTGTGTGTGTATGTGTGTGTGTGTGTGTAGGCTAGAACACAGTCCTGGGTGCCATCCTTAGGAACGTTATCCACCTCCTTTGAGACAGGACATCCTTATTGGCCTGGCACTCACTAATTAGACTAGACTGGCTGGCCAGGGAGTCCCAGGGATCACCTCCTGTCTGTGCGTCTGCAACACTGGGATTGCATTGCTACCTGGGTTCTGGAGACTCTAACACAGGTCCATGTGCTTGCAAAGTCATAGCTTTGTCTACTGAGTTGTTTCCCAATTCCTGACTCCACCTCCCAACCCCACATTACAGGCTCTCTCTGTGTAGTCCTGGCTGTCCTGGAACTTGCTTTATAGACCAGGCTGGCCTTGAACTCACAGAGATCCACTTGCCTCTACCTCCTGAGTGTTGGCATTAATGATATGTGCCACCAGCACCCAGCTTATTTGGTGGGGGGTGTTATTTTTTATTCACTTTGGTTTTGTCTTTTGAGATGAAGTATTTCTAAGTTGCCCAGGATGGCTAGAACTCCTAGTATAAGTAATTCTTCTGCCTCGGTCTCTTTCATAGTGGAGACTATGGTCAATTATTTTGTTGTTGTTTGAGACAGACTCTCCTGTAGTCCAGGCTGGCCTTGAATTCCCTGTGTAGCTAAGGATGACCTTCAATTCCCTGTATTGTTAAGGGGTAACCTTCAACTTCTGTTCTTGAGTGCTGGGATTAAAGGCATGTACCACCCCCATCATACTTGGCTTTTATTCAGTGCTCAGGCTTGAACCCAGGGCTTTGTGCATGCTAGGCTAGTACTCTTCCCACGAATCTACGTAGCCAGCCCTGAGATGCATGACCTTTAAATGGGAGTGACCCTCTACCTCTGGTACAAGAGGATAGTATCAGGCTAGCCCTTCTCCACAGGCACCAGGTTTGGTAGGAACGTGGGTGGCATTAGGGAGAAAGCCATGGGCAAAAAGGGTATGATTTAGGGGCCCCAACCACTCTACCTTCTCCTTGTGTAGCTGGCAGTGCTGCCTAGGGAGTTCTAGGTCTGGACCGGTGGAAAGGGATGTTTTGAGGGCTGACTCTCAGTACCACCAGTGTCCACCATGGGGCAGTGCCTTGTCACTGGACAGCGGCTGACCAGAGAATCCTGGAGACAGGGATAGAACTGCTGGAGAGTGGGAAGGTGGGGGATGTGCTTCATGGGCTCCCTTAGGATCCTGTTTCCCTCACAAGCAGTGGACGGGGGCTGGCTCCTTTGCTCTTTTACCTCAGCTACTGCCCAGAGAGCAGAGGAGGTCCTCAGGACTATATCCCTACCACCATTGACACGTGGCAATGGAGCCAGATATCGGAGGCCAGGCTTCCTAGAAACTCAGGGCACCATGGAGAGGAGAGGAGGGAGGAAGGATTAGGAGACACTTGTATCCACCTGCATTTCTCCCCAGGCCCTGAAACATGTTCAAGAGTTTTGGCTACTGTTGGTTGCTGCATGTAAGTAATGGCCTGTTGACCCCCGGAGAATGGCCCGTGAGTCCTTAAGTGCCCATCCCTGGTGGCACCTAGGAGGGCTTGTGCCAGGAAACAGGCTCAAGGGAAGTCACAAGAGGTGGCTGTAGGCGTCACGGACGCCACCTTCACCAGCCCCTCTGTCTGGGGCCCATGGCTTCTAGCTCTTCCCACCCTCTTTGCTGTTGCGCCTGGCCCGGCCCTACCTCCCCACTGACACTTACGTCAGAACTCAGCTATAAATACGATCTTAGCATCTTAGTCACTTTCCCCAAGAAGTGCTTCCAGGTTATAAATACCCAGGCATCTGCCACACGGCCCGCCTTGCCACCAGGCTGGCTGGGGGCTGGGGGTAGTGTTGGGCTTGAGAGTGGGGAAGGGAATAGAAGAATCAGGACCACTTATTTGCTCAAAGGAGAACAGCCTGAAGGAGTGTAGGGATCGGGGGTTCAGGGAGAAGGGGTGTAAGAAAATGACAGGCCATTCCATTCTTCTTCTTGTAATAAAAAAGCAGAGCCAAAAAAGAAAGAAAGTGGATAACACGGATGTGTGCTTATTTTTAAATATGCTATTTTGTTCCTTTGCAGCATCCACTCCGAAAAATCTTTCATTAAAATACCGGTTTCCTCCACTGATGAGTTGTTTGCCTTCACCTTAAAATTCTACCCGTCGGGTGAGTGCCTCTTGCCCTGCCCTGGTCTTGGTCCTGGGCACCGAAACTGTCAGTATAAGGGAAGAAATTGGATTTCAGAGAGGAATAAAAGTTGGATACACTGACAAAAGGGAGAGGAAGAGACACCATGGAACCTCTTTAGATGGAGGACAGACGAGTCAAAGGTGGGAAACCCCACAGCTGTGACTTGCAGTTCCCCAAAAGATCCCGCGAAGGTCTTCTCTTCTGTGTCTCCATTACAGGAACCTCTTACCTGGTAGGTGGGGAGTATATGTTGAGCAAACACAGACATCACATTTCCCAAAGGACACATGGGTTTTGCGCAAACCTGGCCTTGGGCTGCAGACGATATCGACCCCACGGTTCAGGGCTGTCCAGCCAACGGGGTGGTGAAGAAAGAAAGGCAAAGGTCAATGAGCACCAGATCTCAGGATAAATGCTGCCCTCTCATTATCTGAGGCCTTCCTCGTCTGGTCCCACTCAAGCCTCTGGGCAGGACTCATGGTAAAGCTCTAAGAGCGTGTAGAAGGGAGATGAGGGAGACTTCCAGCTCAGAGGATGCCTCTGCCAACCTGTGGCCAGTGCTGGCTCACTGGATAATTGATTATTGATCTGTCTCAGCTCTTGGAGTGAGTACAGAGGGAGATGAGATCCAAGCAAAAGCTAGTTCATTATTAGCCATGAGACCATTGGAGGGTAGTTCTGAATGGAAGATGGAGGGAGAAGAAGGAAAAAGGGGCATCCTGGAGGATGGAGAGTCGTGAGGTATGGGACAGGTGGGACAACCTGGCTGGAGGGGTCCATGTAAAGAAAGGTCCAGTGATCTAGGATACTAGGGAACATCCGGGTAGGAGCAGGGGACCCTTTGAGCTATCTCAGGAGGAATTAGTGAGAGTTACAGAGTCATAGGTGGAGTTAAGGGAACCAGCAGAAATGATGCTCTAAGCTAGGCATGGTGGTGAAGACCATTAATCCTAGCAGAAGAAGGTGGATCTCTGTGAGTTTTAGGCAAGCCTGCTCTACACAGTGAATTGAAAAAAAGGGATGTTCAAACACCAGGGTCTAGACAGCGGAGGCACCATCAGGACCCCTTAGTTTCAAAACAATAATGTGACATAGACACAGCACAACCATGGTTATACAGAGCCACAGCCTGTAAATAAGTGGGGAGCAGACATAGGAAATATTATTTTATTTTCCCTTCTTTTACTTTGTGACAAGGTCTTAACAGCATAGCCCAGGCTAGCCTAGAGCTAGCTGGCCTCAACCTTTAGGTATATATATCTCCTGCTTCAGTCTCTCGAGTGTAGGGCTGGACTTATACATGTGATAGAGTTTTTCCGTGTCATCCTAGGCTTTAAGTTTCCAACCTGAGTCTCCCTTTGGTCAAATTCAGCTGTAGAGTTCAGACGACAAGGCTTGGTATGTCACCCCTGAGGGCAGAGGAGGGCAGAGAACACCGGAAGCTGTGCAAATAGTATTTAGTGGCACATCTAGGCGAGGGCCTAAAGATTTGAGAGATGAGCCTTGCTTTGGAAAGCAGCAATATAATCTTGGGTGAACCCAAGGAAGGGGTTCTTCAGAGAGCCATAGAATTCAAGGGGAGATACTAAGGAATGTCATCGTGGGGTAGGAGCCACTGAATGGCAAGCATAGGGAGGCAGAGTAGATTACATAGTTGATTAAGGGTGTGTTTGCTGGGAACGAAATGATATTGCTTGTGGTTGGCAGTGGATTAGCCTAGCCTAAGGCTGAGGATGTGGCTCTACTGGGTCAACCATGTCCCAGGAGAGAGAAAGGCTATTATTGGTCATGAGTAACTCTCTTTAGAGGTGGATCTCCTTGAGTCAGCAGAAGGATGTCTGCATGCTTAGAAAGAAGGTGCTTATATTCTGGATAGAAGTGGGAACAGAGTCACCCCTTCATGAGGAAGACCACTCTACCTTAGGCTGCCTGTATCACCCATGAGCTAACTGCACCCACAGGCCTCCACCACCATATCAGGTATATCCGTCTTGACAATGTTGCTGTCCCTGTCATAGTAGAGCAAAGACAGAGGGCGCCGAGATGTAGGCACACAGCACGAGCCCCCACCGGTGGTGCCGGTGGCTGTGTTGGCTTTGAGCAGATTCAGCACTGCAGTGTGAAAGGAGGCAGAGATGCCAGGCATGCCTGCCACATGTAGTGGGCACTGTCCGGTGCAGAAGTTCATGGCATAACCTTCAGGCTGGATGATCCAGTCATGCCAGCCAATCTCACGGAAGTCTACGAAGAACTCTTGTCGACAGCACATCCTGGATGCCCCCTGGCAGTCGATACCTCGACGGCGAACCCGATGCTTGCCCTTGACTCTTACCTGGGCTGCCACAAAAGGCCTATGGGAAAATCCACCCAGGATCAAGGAACTGTGAGCCACCTGGCTTTCCGGTACCAGCTCCAGAGTAAGGCGCCCCTGGCTGCAAGCAGCTTGAACTTCGGGTCCCAGGAGAAGCTGGTGCCAGCCACTGGTATCCACCTGCAGCATGTACTGGCTTGCCAAGGTGAGGTTGGTGTCATATGGTCTTAGCACGAGGACTCTTATATTCATGGTCTCGGTGGCGTTGGGAGGGAGCTGCACGAAGAACATGAGGCGGGTCTGCCGGACCTCCACGCCACCGGCCGTTCTACCAGAGAAGTGGAACTCGAGACGGGTCTGGTTGACGCTGGAGAGGCCTGTGAACACCAGAAGCCACAGGAAATCACCGAGCAGCCTTCGGGTCAGCTCTACCAGCTGCCTCTGTTCTCAGCACGCTTTTCTTCTCCCTTTGTTTGAGAAGATGGCTCATGCAGCCCAAGCTAGCCTTAAACTCAATATGCAGACAAGGACAACTTTGAACTGATGATCCCCCTGCCTCCACTTCCAGAATGCTGGGGTCACAGGCTTAAACATGTGTGTGCACATACACAGAGACATACACACACACATAGACA